CATACATGTACAAGTATGTATAAAATATTTTGAAGTGAATTGCCAACAACATAGCTTTTCAATATTAAATAGGTTAGCATGCCCTTTTAAGAATAAAGACATTATTGTACATAATCAAAATATTATTACATATAAGAAATTTATGTAAGGTAATAAAACTTAAATAATACAGTACTTAAAAATAACATGCTTTAGCCTTTTTATACATAGTGAGTCTTTTCTGAAACATACACCAAATATATGAGGGAAACTGCTTTGCAGTGTAATCGCAGATAGTACATTCCTATAGGTATGTTTATTGACAGACTCCAACCACTATCTCACATTTAACACTGTCACAGAGACAACGGATTTGGAACAAGAGAGCAATGATATAACTCAGCAAAATCTTAAATTTATCACATTACATTCTCAATTTTTATTAAAATTTTCATTAGATTCAAGCTTTATTCAGGTCATTTATTTAACCCATTGTCCTCTCTTTGTACTGGGGACATTCATTTTCTGTGATTTAGAACATTTTAATAATATGTAATTTTGTCATTTCATTTATAGTTAAGCTCTGAAATAGTAACATTTGGAAGTAAAATATCATTATTTAGATAAATAGCATAAAACAGAATTATACTATCAATTATAAAAATCATACTGTAAATATATATGTGAAAGGTACATGTTTGAAAGTAATTTGCACTATTCAGTTGAATTTCAAACATCATAAAGAATTCTATATTTTAGTTTTTTCTTACTCTAACTTTTCCCTTTCTTGTTAGTTTGTGCTGAATTGACTATATTTATTTTCTTATTTCAAAATGTATTGTCTTTCTCAAATATTTATTAGGTTTGTATATTTTTATTTTAAAAATTTTAGAACATATGAGAAACACATTATGAATTTTCCTTTTTTCTATTTCAGTGAACTATCTATACAGAATTTTATTTATATTGCTATAAAAATTATTCAAAAAACATTATTGACTTTGAGAGTCTTGAAATGTTTTCCCTAGCCTATAATTATTCTTATGCTTATAATTACCTTAATATTAACTAAGACATTTCTTTTTTCCTCCTTCTGTAGCTATTTGTAGCCTCTTTCTATACCTATTTATATGTGTTTCAGACCTATCTAATATGCAATATAATTGTTATGCAATGGTCATTTCAAATACATTTTTACTATCCTTTAAGAATGTTTGTTGTAACTGCTTAAGAATAAATGCATTTAAGTATTACCTCATCTTTCTAAAATATTCAATGAAAAAAATTTCAAATCTTTTTCTCAAGGGGCACGGCAAAAATGTGACCATGTAATTCAAATGATTAAGCAGATTATTAGTGAACAAGCACTCTAACTTATTTGCCTTATAAGGACTTAATTGATATTTCCTATAAGAGGCTTATATATTAATAATTTTTATTATTGTTTTTGTTATTAGCTTCAATCTAGGTAATTAGGTTTCAGTATTAATTTCAAAGGGGAAAAAATATTGGAAGGAAATAGTTCAAACTATTTCCATGCAAGAACCCTTTGTGGTTTGCATGAATTTCTGGTCCTCTTTCATTGTCTTAGCCCACAGGCTCATGAACCACTTGTTCTGATATCATTAGTGATCAAATTACTTGTTTATTCAATGATACCTCTTTGTATTTGTCTATCAAAGATTCAAGGAGAAGGCAAAATAAGAGATAAAACTGGGAGAGCATTTTGTTAAAGCCCTGGAATGAGAATCAGAAGATTTGGATTTTCGTCAAATGATCTGCTTTCTGATATGACTTTGTTCTTAAAATTGCAAGGAGACATATTTCCTTATGTCACCCTCTCCTCTACATTTTAAGCTATAAAATTCTTTATATCACCTTTATAAATTTTGCAAATTGCATAACATAACAGTGGATTTTGCAGCTGGACGTCCTTTTGGAGTCTCACCTTGTGAATTTTTTTAAATTTATGTTATTGGTTTTTATAAATTATAGAAACTAATTTTCAAAATTTATTTGAATACATTATAAAATGTCATATGCTATTAGAAATATCTCAAAATTTATCCAAGCTTTGGGGCAAAAGTTGCACTATACACTTGCTTTTTTTTTCTGTTGCATTGAGAATTTACATACCTATGCTCTTCTAACATTTTTATTTCCATTTGCTGATTTGCCATCTGAAAATATTTAGTTTGTATTGGGAAAATAGCTGGAATGCACTCAACAGGAAAGAACAACTTGTTGTCATCTTATATAATACTATGTGATGTCAAGGTCACAGTGAAGAAAAATGTTTCAAATTATCAATAGATGATGCAATTGCCATGATGTCCAAATAAAGTCATTTAGATTGCTCTCTTAATTTCTCTTACCCCTTTAGTTTTAGTTACTAAAATTTGTTATTGTAGAATTTTTACCCTCTTCCAAGATTTATGGGTACTCATTACTTTAAGACCACATAAAAAGAGATGTCCAAAGAGAAATCAATGTAGCCTATTACTATTACTTATTTACAAGAACTTTAATTTACAGTGAAGTTAACTTACTATTTTCTTTTACTCTTTAAGGTGGATTTGGAGACCATGGTATGTCAAAGAAACGAGGGGCCCTCTACCAACTTATAGACAGGATAAGAAGAATTGGCTCTGGTATATCAATGTTTAAAGTTTCAGACACGATGTACAGTGAATATTATACTCATAGTAGTTCTGTTTGCCATTATGCTGCAAATTATGGAAAGGATATATGCTGAGAAAGAGTCCTTTATTCATTGTTATTTTGTTAGTTGATATCCAACGTAAGTTTTTTAGAACTTAATTGGGGACATTTGAAATATTTTAGCTTATTTTCAGCTTCTCTTTAATAAAAAAATGTATTAGGTGTTTATTTTATTGTTGGTATGTATTTCCAGTAAATTGGTATTTCTATCAAGCATGGAGCTACATCAGTTTTAGTCAAATGGAAAAATATCATGGCTGTTTCTTTTTTTTTTTTTTTTTGCTTTTATGCGGGCCTCTCACTGTTGTGGCCTCTCCCACCGCGGAGCACAGGCTCCGGACGCGCAGGCCCAGCAGCCATGGCTCACGGGCCCAGCCGCTCCGCGGCACGCGGGATCCTCCCGGACCGGGGCACGAACCCGCGTCCCCCGCATCGGCAGGCGGACCCCCAACCACTGCGCCACCAGGGAAGCCCCATGGCTGTTTCTTTTGAAATAAAATCCACTTAAAGTAAATTGTCAAACTGATTAATTAGATTAAAAAAATAATTGAAAATATTTTTTACCCTTCCAAAAATATATATAGAAAACATTCAGAGAAACTGCCTTCTGGCTTAATGATTAGTTAATATTTAAAGTATTGAATTTATTAATCACTATTTGTAGATTTTAGAGTTTCTTTTTCAAGTCTTCTGTTCAAAGTTCATATCCTAACATATCTTAAATTGATTAGTACTAATTAAATATTTTAAAGTGCCTACTTTTAAGGATTAATTTTCCAAAGTGAAGATACTTTGCTCCAGGATATTAAAAAGTTAGACATGTTAGGAACACAGGCATAGGGCGCATACATTCAGTATTCGTTGTGTCTGAAGTGTATGTAAGTGGTAAACTATTTGCATAAACAATGATATATAAATAAGAAAAAAATAATCATGAAAATGTAGGAAAAATAAAACAGTAACAAAAAATTATGAAGGGTCATCAAGAAAAGTTAGTGACTGCAGACTTGAAAGCTCTTCCACAATAGACTGCATTTTATGTTGGCCTGTTCACCTTGTGTACTGCTCTCTAAATCTTTTCTGTTGTGTGGATATGAATCCCGAGGAAAGTGACATAGAGATAGCCCATTGTCCCAGAATCTGAGACCATATCTGTCTTATTCTATTTCATTTACTATCTCTACAGTGTAATATTCACAATTTTAAACTGTACTACAGAATATCAATTCTGATTTAAAGGACTAGGGATTTAGCAGGAGTAAGAAAGGTTTTGAACATCATAGGACTTTTTAAACAATGTCTTTTTAATTCTAGTGGTGAATTTCTTAGTGCTCTAGTAAAGTAGAAAACAAAAGAATTTTTCTGTGGCTTACAAAGTCTACCTGACTTCTGTCCACTGTGGGCTGTTGTATGGAAATTCATCAAATTTGCTCATAGAGCATTAGAAAATAGTATTTTGACATGAACTGCTTAAATATTTTAACACTTTTTTCAAGTATGTAATATAAATGAAGTTTTTCTTTAATGCATTTTGACTTCAGGCATATTTATATAAATGTGTAAATAAGGCATTTTACCTTGTCCTTTAAGAGGTAAATGATTCTCTGACCAAGGACTTCTGTTTCACAGAATGTTTTAAATGTCATTGCAGGCTTGGAGCAAAACAACACAGTTAAGGAAAAAGTACCTCTAAAATTCTCAGGGCAAAATGAGAAAAATCGAGTTCCCAGAGCTGCTACATCAAGAACTGAAAGAGTATGGCCTGGAGGTGTTATTCCTTACGTTATAGGAGGCAACTTCACTGGTAAGATATTCCCAGAGAGTCTATTTTGATAAAGAATTAATAATTATCATATAGATTAATTGTATATTTTTAAAGAATACTAACATATAAAACATAGTATTAAATGAAACATGAGAAATATTCCATTCACCTGAGTTGTCAGTTAGTGTGTCTTCAAATTTAAAAATGTATTTAGTCTTGAGTTCTAAGAATCTAAAGAACTATTCTGGTTTTTAAATTGAATTTCAAATGTACCCATTAAATCTGGAAGCTGATTTCAGCTGACAGGAATAATGTATGTCTCATTCACAGAGCCTTGTACACACATACTTGTAGAGACAGTAAGCTCAAGCCTACTGATTATGAAGGCAGTGTCCACTCTCAAGAGTGGCTCACTGCAGTGGTCGGAGCTAGTATTCTCTGGTTGATGATAGAGGTGTTGTCTGACCTGTGCAGCCAGACCTGGGTTGGAAGAGCCCACTGTTTTATTAATGTCATGCCATTTTTCCAGGCAGCCAGCGAGCCATGTTCAAGCAGGCCATGAGGCACTGGGAAAAGCACACATGTGTGACTTTCATTGAAAGAGGGGATGAAGAGAGTTACATTGTATTCACATATAGGCCTTGTGGGTAAGTAGAACCAGGGAATGACTTAAGTAAATTTAGAAGGGAAAAAAAAATCCATAGGTAAGATTTACTTTTTAATATTTGCTTAGTATTTTGCCCATGGGAAAGTATGAATTTTACATAAGAGAATATTATATATTAAATAAATATACTCTTTGATCACAGACCTCTGTGCATCCTCCACCACCACAGCTGCCTTTCCTTCTGTTCTAATTATATGGTGGCATTGCCAACATCCCACTAACCTGAGTTAGAAACCTCAGTATTGTTTTTAGTGATTGAATTCTTAGTGATATCAACAGAAATATTTCTGTTGATATCCACTATGTCTTATGGTTTCCACTTTTATCCCATGTCAGTCCCCTGGTCCATTCATGTCTTTGTCCCCTCACACCGGCTGTACTCCAACTGCTCTCCAGTCTTGCCTAACCAATTCACTGCCACTAGAATTATCTTCAAAAAATACTCTTCAGAGCAAAATACTACACTTTTTGAGATTCCTCAGTGTTTCCTCCTACAGTGATATTTTCTAGATTTGCTTCTTACAGGATAGTAATACTCTCTTCAAAATAAACTATTCTATAAGTTGTGAAAATGCTGTGTTAAATTTCAATAGGTATTTCTACAAGCAGTGTGCTAAACCTTACTAATATTCAACCAATTGAAAGAAATATAGAGTACAGTGTTCCCTAAACTTATTTTAAAAAGGGAACACCCATCTCACCCTGTTAATAGTGAAGAACGTATATCAGTATTCCAGAACACATTCTGGGAAATGCTAGCCTGAGAATAAAACCTAGATGCTTGGATGTAACATTTAAGGAATGCCATGAACTTACCACAGCTTCCATCTGCTGCTTCTGCTGCCACCACTTCTCTCCACAAATCCCATAATCTAGCCAAGTTACAGTAACAGCAGTTCTCCAAGCAATGCTGTGTACTTTAAAAGACTTTTCATTGTGAAAACTTTCAAATTTTTTCTCCCTATATTTCCAGTTAGTTGGAACTTATATTTAAATATTTGAGTATTTAAATTGTTTCCATTTTTGTTTGTTTGTTTGCTAAGAATACTTGATAGGGTGTGCTGTCTACTTTACACTGCATCACATCAAGAGGCACATATGCCTGGACCTACCACTTTAGTGATACTGTGATTGATCAGTGGATTCAAATGGTGACAGCCAGGTCCCTCAATTGTAAGTTCCCATCATTGCAAAGTAGTCATTTTCTCATGTTGTTCTTTTCTTTTATTCCTTCTACATTTATTAGCTGAAATTCTTCTATAAAGAGGAATTATCTCTAATCAACTATAAGTATTTGAATACCCTCTATTATAGTTCACATAGAGAAGTAAAAATAAATGCATAATTCCTTTGGAGGAAATAGTTCATGCCCTAATGACACATATTTTCAGGGTGGAGGAAGTATATATCTCACTAGGTATTGGGGGCATTACATCATCTGGCTTTGTTCTACCATATTTTCCTAGAACATTTAACTTAACTTAAAAAGCAATGAGTTTTAATTTTGGCCCTACTTAAGTGACATTAGGAAAAATTATACATTATTATTTTTCTATATATTTTGATAGTACCATAATTTTTTTAGCTGACTTATTTAAGCAATGTTTTCTTCTAAATTACTCTAATTACTTACTCTTGATAAGTTTTGGTTACATTTGAAGTCCCAACTAATTCTTTATATGTATTTAATATTTTTAAATATTAAGGACCTTTTAAGGTCCAAATCTAGACTGTCCTTCCTTCCTTCTGATTATCTAATAGGAGTGGATATAGCTCAGATTACGTATTTCTAAATATATAATGTATTCAAATCAATACATCTTTTCTTTACCCACCCTTCAATTCTGTAAATACATGCAAAGCACCAATCACTTATTATTTTATTGCTCAAATTCTGTTTGTAACAAATTCATATTTATACTCATTTTCTTTTATTAATTTGGCTCTTTTCAAAGTTTTCCATTTCACTTGTTTTATCCTGCTAAACTATTTTTCCCCATTCACTATCATTCCTTCATGTTTGTTTTTGTGATGTTTTAGTTGCTTGAATGCCTTTACTTTCCTTTTTCATCAGTGGAAATCTTTCACATATTTCATCATGCTCACCCATTTTTGAGCTGCCTGCAGTGGGACTTTGCTCTACAGCAGCTATAATAGCTCCATTTCCACTGTGATTCAAATGTCTACCTTCATCAGTGATGAGAGCAGGGAGCTTACCTCTGTGTCCCTCATGACACACAGCACATGGCATTATAGGAGGGTGATCAGGAAAGTACCAACAATTTACATGTTAGCTAAAGTACATTGTGTGTAATCCTGAGATTAAAAAATGTAAGAATTCGAAGGGGGTTGAAGAACATGTACTTCATCAATTTAGAGATGTGAAAACTGAAGTTATGACTTTCCCCAAGGTACTTAAATCTGTAGTTACATTCCTGAAATTGGACTCGAGTTTATTTGTGACTGTTGTAGTAGTAATGTCGCATTTTGGTGATTTGTTTTGGTGCTCATTTTCCAGTTCAAAGTTTGCCCTGTATTATTTTTTCAGTGATAGGAAGGATGATACTTTTTATGAAACTTGGTCATTGGCCTGCTAATCATTCTAATCATTTTGTGACTTTTAAATTTCATTTGAAATTACCATTATTGGCCACAATTTCATGAAATTATGGTTATTTCATCATTCTTGCTATGATAATGCTGCATCTATATCTCATAAAAATCAATTTAAATTATTAAAGAGTTTGACAGTTGGTATTACACAAAATAGTGAAAGCCATCTGGAATAAAATATATTTTGAGTCAAACATTTAACACTCTATTGGATTTAGTATGGAGTCTTTTCTCCTATAAGAGCTGTGGCATATAATGTATCACATTTAGCAATACCTAGTATAAATATCCATAGAATATGGAGAACCTTTAAGGTGGTGCCATTGATATGGATGACAACATTTATCAGTTCTGTTTCTAGCTTTAATCTAGAAGGCAAATGTGTCTTATTACTCCTTATCATTATCATCACTTTCATTGAGTTTACCCACTAAGTCAGACAACTTGTAGCTCTTGCAATTTTTAAAAATAAAAGCTAAAATAATCTCCATATTTATGGGAGGAATTATTAAATATGGAATCACCTATATCATTTAGAGCATTATATTTCCCATCTTATTCTGCTACAGTCAATTTTTATTCAATAAATATTTATTGGGTGTCTAGTTCCATATCAGGCCTTTGATAGGTGGGAAAATAATAAAATTTTAAAACGCAAAAAGTAGAAATCAGACCTTTTTGCCATTTAGCTCTAGTGTATTTCTTATTTTTAAGTTGTATTATAATCGTACATTATGTTTATATATATCTGTATGCATGTTTTTAGGTATGTGATATCTTTGCTTCATCTGCAGTGGACATAAGCTTTAACCCTCATTATTGACAAAAGGTTTGAACTGAGCTATACATAATTTTCAATGAATGTCTATTAGCTTCAGTGGCATTTATTTATTTTACAAGATTATTAATTATAAACAGCAAAATGTGAGACCATTTAATAATAGAAGTTGTTTGATTTTATTCTTTGTAAGTCAGAGATTTATGTAACTGAATTTATTACCTTCATCTACTATATGCTGATTTTTAATGATTACTAAAAAACAATCAAACAAACAAACGTAGAGTTAACTTATTTTCTAGGTTTCATATGCTTTAATTGTATTTAACTTTTGTCAGTTTAATTATTCAAACTGTAACAGTAGTCACTTATTCATCCTTTCCTATTGAATTCTCATTTTGTGCCACTTACTATACTAACTTTGGGGACTATAAAATTGAATGTAAGTTGTTTTCTCTCTGCAAGGATGTTATAGTTAGGCAGAGGAAGTGTGCTAGCCAGGATTCTTGTTCTCAAGCAACAGAGACTGGCTAACTTAAGCAGAAAAAATAGTTTTTTAAAGGAATTTATAGAATTATACTAATAGAAAAAGTGGAGAGCCAGGCTGAAGGAGGAGTCTCCTACTTGCTGAAGCAAGAGCATGTTGAACCCCTCACCTTGAGCATTTCCACCACTTCTTTGGATGCTTGCTGCTAATTACTAGAGTTAGCTGTGTCCTGCACTTAGGAGATCTGTTCTTTCAATAAGTATTTATTTATTGAAATTTTTGACTTTTTATTTTTCAAAATTTTTCCAGTTTTATTGAGATATAATTGACATACAACATAGTGTTTTAGGTGTATAACATGATGATTTTAGACTTGTATATATTGTGAAGTGATCACCACAATAAGTTAACATCCATCATCATACTTAGTTACACGTTTTTTTTTTTTCTTGTGATGAGAACTTTTGAGATCTACTCTCTTAGCAACTTTAAAATATATGATATGGTATTAACTTTAGTCACCATGCTGCACATTACAGCCTCAGAAATTGCTTATTGTGTAACTGGAAGTCTGTACATTTTGACCCCCTTTGATCCATTTCACCCACCCTTAGTCCCCACCTCTGGCAACCACCAATATGTTCTCTGTAACTATTGAGTCCTGTTATGTGCCAGGCTGTATTCTAGGAGCTAGCATTATAGCATGAGCAAAACAGGTACACTTTCTGCCCACCAAAAGCTTACATTCTAGGTGGGGAGGCAAAAACCCTGCAAAGATAAATGAAATATAAAATGTTTTAATAGACAATAAATTCTAGGACAAAAAGGAAAGTAGTGTAAGTGGGATGGAAGGACATTTGCACAGAACTTGAAAGAGGAGGAAACAAGCCATATGTATATCTGGGAAACAGAGTTTCTGACAGAGAAAATAGACAGTAAAAAGACTCTGAGGCAAGAGTATTTCTGCATGCTCAGGGCATAACAAGGAAACTTCATGGCTCGAGTGGAGTGACAGGGATGATAATAAGAGACAATATCTATATGATAAGATATTTGTGTGTGAAGATTGTGTAAGATCTTATAGTTTTTTTTTAATAAGTGATTTGATTTTCCTCTGAGCAAAATAGCAAGGCTGTGTCAGTCAGCTTAGGCAATTTATGACATGGTAACAAACAACTCCCAAATCCCAGGAGCTAGAGCAACAAACACTTACTCCTTACTCTTACTATATATCCACCACTGGTCAGCTGTAGCTCACTCCAGAGTCGTCACTATGGTGTCCAGTCTGATGGAGAAGCCTCTTTTTGGAACCTTGCAGTTGTAGCAGAAAGAACAGAAACAATATGGTCAACCATATTTGCTCTTAAAGATTCTCTCCAGAAATGACACAGTTTTTGCTCCCATGACATTGTCCAGAGCAAGTCACACGACTAAACCCAGCAACAGTAGGGTAGGGATGTATAATTATCTCCTAGAGAGGGGTAATGAATACTTTTGAATATTGACACAATATTGTCATTGGAGAATATTGAGTAAAGAAGTGGAGTAATCTGAGTTTACATTTAAAACATATCTTTATGCTGAGAAAAGACTGCTGTGGGGAGGGCATAAAGCTTACAGGCAACTTTCTTTGTGCGTATAGGTTTAGCTCCACCAATCCGAGGCCAAAGTAGGGAATAGTGGGTTTTGGATTACCTTCTTACTCTCTATGGCTTAGTGAGGCTTCTCTAAAATTGGTAAAATATTTTCTTGAGAGGACAGGTAGGGCTTATAATGGCCAAGCTTTAAAAGCAGCACTCAAATTTGAAACAGAAAATCAACAGCCATGTACAAGAAAATGGCCTCAAACCTGGATGGAATTAGAAAGAAACTCAGACATGTTAAAACCATGTTTTTATAAACTGTGCATATTAAAAATAAACTGTGCATATTAACCTGTCATTCCATACATAATTGTATGTGCATATATTTAGCTATTTAGTCATTTGAGCATCTAGAATTCTTCCATTCCTGGACCTGTAGTATTTCAGAAATCAAACCACCACATTTTTCTTCACAGGACCATTGTAAAAGCCAGTGTGAAATGTATTTTTGCTTTCCATTATGAAACCCCATCTTATTTATTGGAAATTGTTATAGGTAAAATTATGCTAATAAAAGGTGTTTTAGATTAAAAGAATCAACCACATTGCTTGACTATCTCCTGGATTTTGATTTGCAAAGTAGTTTTTTCTCTGAATATAACCAGCAAAAATGATTCAGTGTGGGTAATTTAGTTGCTGTATAATCCTCAGATATTTCACTTTCATCACTATTGCTTTATGGTAGCAAATATTTCAGTTTAAATCTCTCCAAAATTTCCAAATTTTGAGTTTTGCTACACCTAATACTTTACTATTTCAGTATGTAATAAATAACTATGTATGTATAAATTTAAAAGTCATGGTAAAAAAAAATCTACCTGAGAGCAAAAATACAATTCCCTGATTTTTTTCCCTACCAGTTACCTCACTTTTCTTTCTTTTACTGATTTATTAAACTTAATTAACTCTTATAATAGATTCATAAATAATAAGCTGAATTACTTTTTCTAACTGGCATTTAAAGCCTACAGAAATAATTGGAATGAAAAATGTGCTTACTCTGAAAAGTGAAATTAGTGAAATGCATTTTAAAATTTTGGGCAATTAATTTTGGGCAATTTCCTCTTTTAACTTAATAAATTAGAAAAGATGTTCAGTGTCCGGCACATTATGATTCCCATCTATTCAAGACCAGTTATTTACTGCCCTCTATTGCTGTCTAGAGGGGTGGCTCTTAGATAAGCTATTTTAATGTAACCCTAAATTTTGAAGTTTTAAGTGTAATTTTATTTATAACTATGATTGTAGTTACCATATTATTATACCATTTAAAGCTTATTTTAAAGTGTGTCCGTATGTGTCAACCCTTGCATGTGTGTGCACACTCTCTCATGCACACTGACACACATGCATGTATGCCCACACACACAAAATGAATAAATGGAATATCTATATTTTGGGTAGAAAAGCATCACTGAATATGTATAAATATCAATAAATTGAAGAAAATTTGCAGGAAGATGCTTTGCATGCTTCACATTCTGAAAGTCCAAGAGATTCTTTCAGAAGGTGAAATGGACTATCACACTAAACATTTGCCTGACCATTTGACACAGTCTCATAATTCTACCAGTTGTTGATTTTCCTTCACCAGTCAACCATTAACCCTAGATAATTCACCTTTTGAAACTAATTTTCCTTGATTGACTTCTCTTAAAAGTTCTCTTCTTTAAAAAAATTCTCCCATGAAGAGGAAAAGTAATTCCTTTTTTAATTAACCAACATTTTTCACAAACTTAATTGTTTTTCTCAAAGAGGAAAAATAAACTTTGTTTTTATTTTTAATACTGAAATAATGGATTATTGTTAGATAACCATATTGACAAAGTGGTTACCTAAATGGGTTTTGAGGATAAAAAATTGTATTAGAAATACATGTGAGTTGATGTCTTGAGTTTAACTATATGTATAATAGCCATTAATCATCATCATAAGTATTTTATTTTCTGATTTATCTTCTGAATACTCCTAAAAATTATTTAAGGCACATCTTCTAATATATGAATTAGTACAAAGGCACTTCAATAGATTATTTGGGGACTTGTACATAAATCTACCAGGATTACTAGAAATTTTTATTAATGAAATATTTATTAATGAAAAACTGTTCTGCCTCTGAATGTGTTGGACTTTACAGTTCATTACAAAAGTTTCACCCTACTGTAATTCACGCAGAATCTCCCTGTCCACCACCATCTGCACTTTCTACTTTATTCCAGATGCTGCTCCTATGTAGGTCGGCGTGGAAATGGACCTCAGGCTATCTCTATTGGCAAGAACTGTGATAAATTTGGAATTGTTGTTCATGAATTGGGCCATGTGATAGGCTTTTGGCATGAACACACACGACCAGATCGAGATAATCATGTAACTATCATAAGAGAAAACATCCAGCCAGGTGAGAGGCTTCAGAATGTGTTGGGTTTAAGGTTGACTAAATATCTTTTAAATGTATTGTACTATTTAACTTCTTAAAAAATGTGAACTGATTTTGTTGATATTGTAGATCAACATTTTGCTTGATTTAAAAATAGCTGCTATGTTGTTAATTTTTTCCTGCAGATCAAATGATCTTATGCATTTTTTAGGCTTGCTTTTTTCCTTAAGATTTAGCTATTTTATATCCAAACTTCGGTGCTTTCCAAGAATGGGTGTAGGCTATTAAAACATAAATTAATATTAATAAATTTTTAAAAAGTATTTTCTATACTTAATTCTATAATTTACGTTGTTGGCTTTTAAAAAGGGTCCAGGGTTTGCCACAAAATGTGCTGCTGCCATACAAATCTATATTATATCAGGGACAATTTCTGGAGAAAATTCCAGGGAGGTGAGTCATTTCCAGGATAGTCCAAATATTTTCTTGAGATTTCCCCTGAACTACACTAAAGACAAATTCTTAAGAATATTTTCAATAGTTTCAGTAGTTCAATAGTTAATATATAATTAAAATTTAATTTTCTCCAACAGTTGATGTGTGATAATCACCTCATTTAGTTTTTCATTTGTTTTACCTTTCATAATTCATAAAGATAAGTACATTTCAACTGCCAGAAGAAAAATCCTGTTGTTTAGAATTGTCTTAGAAAGTTGTGTGTATTTCAAGCAGAAGCAAAGCAGAAATGTGTCCTTATTTCCTTATTCATGGCCAGTTTTAAGTTACAAACATTTAATTCCTTAGAATTTCCTGTGATTTACAGCATTGCTCTATTTATTTGTTCATAACATATTTGCTGCCAGTTATTTATCGAGGTACTATTAGATGTTGGAGATACTTCATGAAAATTACAGAGCTTAGTGTATGTATATCCATGTATACAAACGATTGCAAGCAAGTGAGAATAGTGTTATATTGAGAACACAATCCAGTTCAAGCAAGGTGTGACAAAATGTGCCTTGCGAGTCAAGGGAGACGTCACAAAGGAACTGAAATTTAGAAGTAAAGGGGTTCTAAGTGCCCAGAAGAGTGATGGAATTTCTAACTGGAAAAAAATAAAAGCATCATGATCAAAGCTACAATTACAGATAATTGAATCATTTTTATTTTCCCAAATGGCTGCATGGTAAGTTACAAATGAGAGACTAGTTGGTAATTACCAAGGGAGATTAGATCATAGGGATTTTCTATCTGAAGCTAAGAAATTTAGATTTTATCCTCTAGCTACTGGAGAATAATCAAAGGATTGAAAGCAGAGCAAGTTCAGATTTAAAAAAAGAATTATTTCAGCTGTAGGGATTATTAACTGAGAATGGGGATATGGGGGTGGAGAGGATGAACGTGACATCAGGGAAACCTATTAGAAACTTAAATAAATTGTTTATAAGAGATGACTAAGTCCTCAGTTAGGGTGGTGTAGGCCAAGAAGAAGGAGAGGAATAATCTTTCAAAAATATTTTAAGAGAGACATCATGTGAAAGCAAATCTTCAAGATTTTATTTTTAGGCAACAGGGTGAATGGTGGCACCATCAAATGAACTAAGAAATATGGATAAAGCAACATATTTTTAAGAGGAAGAAAGACAAATAATTTCATTTAGCATATCCTTGAGTTTGAGAAGCCTTTAGATGGTCCAAGTGGAGATATTTAGTAGACAAAGGAAAGGTGAGTCTAGACTTTAAGATATCTAGAGATAGAAATTTGTTAGTGGATTTCACTGTCTAGGAAAATATTGGAGGAAGAAGAAAGTAAGATTGTGGGTAGAATATGGGGAACACCAATATTTAAGCAACATTTTGTAGAATATCTCTCAAAAGATTAAGAAAGTTTGGTCTAAGAAGTAGGAGAAAAATCAATGAATGTGATGTTACAGGGAAGAGATCACTTCAAGAATAAATAAGTAATCTGTAGTGTTGAAAGAGAAGTAAATGACATCTATACTCCCAATATAGAAGACTCTAATGCCTGACCAGCTATCAAGATTCATCTTATACTTTATATCATTGGGAGACAAAGAGAAAATATTTCTGAAAATTACTCCAACTACCAACTAAATGAAAAGTTTTCTATCAACCACAGTTACTAAGTTTCCTCTATTATGTGGACAAAATAACTTATAAAGGAAGTAACTTCCAAGAATGATTCTTGCTCTTAAAAATAGGACTCTGGTTCAACATAAATTTATGTAGCTAAAACAAGCAGAAATGTATAAATAGTATGTAAATGTATAATACTTAACACAGTGCTAAACAATTTATGGCTTTTCATATTTTTGAGTCAATATGACTCATAATGTTGACTCATATTTTGAGTCAACATTCAATCTAATAGAAAACAACAATTTATTGCATGAGATGTCCTGAGTATTTGGAACTCCATGCACATTTTGTCATACCTTGTTTGGATTCAACGATATTCTCAACATATGATTATTCTCACTTTTCTCACTCACTTGCAGTCATTTGTATGTATGGACAGTTGGCCCTCCATATTCATAGAGTTTTGTATCCGTGGATTCAACCAACCTCTGAATCGAAATTTCTTATTCATTGTACTAAACCATTTTATATAAGGGACTTAAACATCCACAGATTTTGGTATCCAAGGGCTTGCTGGAACCAGTCCCCTGCAGATACTGAAGGCTGACCATACTATAGCAAGGTAATTCTAGTATGAAAAATTCATATTGGAGAATAATCTTCAGCAAATTTGTGACTTACTTTGGCTCAGAAATTTTAGATCAAGTGTTATTCTAAGGCAACATCTAATAAGTGTGGACTTCAGCTGCATTTATATGCAAAATTAGTGACTATGATAGGAGCCAATTTGGTACAAAGATTGGATTACTTTAATCCACTTTAGAACATGCCTTCAAGAAGGAGGTTATCATTTTTTTAAAAATTGTTTAGGGTGAGTTCCACTGGTGCTCTGTATCTCTGATCCTCTTCTCTTCTGTTATGAAATGTCTGCTTTTCTTTATTTGGACCAAGTATGGCTGTGTTCTTTTTAACTAGCACAAAACACTATGTCACGTACATGGTAACTGCTCAGTTATATACATCAAAATGTATTACTGAAGTTGCTTCATGTTCCACTTTCAGAAATTTTTATGAAACATTTTGCTTTAATTAGAGAGTATACTCACATATTGTGCTTGAAATTTGAAATCTCCAGTGGATTATAGATTAATATTAAAAAATAAGCCCCACAGCTTTATAAAAATCTCACCTTAGAATTGGTTGTACTAAAATATACTTACCATGTTTAATGAAGAAGAGAGTTTTTAGCAGTTACTTCTATCAAAGGTTGAAGATAATGCAGGGTATTTCCCGAGAATAGTTGTAATACAGACAGATAAACCAGAGATTTGTGGAACGTGTATTTTACTATATGGTGTGCTTAGTTCATTGAAAACTATTCATTGTGTGAATTCATTGTAAGGTGGATTGAAACACTTTACTCTGGGACTTGGGTTCTGTAACTTCACGCTGATTGTTTTATCTTTAATGCTCAAGTGAGTATATCAGACTTCCTTATCACATGTAGGAAAGATATTATACTCTGTGGCATCACTCAGTTTTTTTATTGCTTTTTGGGAAATTTTTAATGTAATATTTTTATATTCAGTAGTTATACAGCAGTTGGAATAAAATTAAAATAGTTATATAAGTGTTGTACAATAATAGTTCTTTTTTAAACTCCAGCCTTGAATTTGGAAGCCTAATAACTCAACTTTACACTTTGATGTTTCAAAATGAGCTATAAAAGCAGCCATCTTTGGCTGCTGAAATTGTGAAAAATGAATCACTGAAACCTAAACTCTGGGGAAATACTCTGCCTCTGGAACCATTGATGTAGATCTACACATTTAACTCTATGTTATTTTCAAATTTCAAGAAATAATATTACAATACAGATACAAACAGGCAGTTGAGAAATCTATTAACATGAAGATGTCCAGAAGTTAAAAAAGCAGTCGTGAAAAGTAAAAAATTAAAAAGTATGTTCTGAAACATATTCTCTTGACCAAAAAAGCCCTCCAAGTAGAGCCTCATTTTCATCAAAGAGAATCTTGTTTCAGTTGCTGTGGTTTTATCTTTAGTGACAAAGTCACATAGCAAACGCCTGCAATGTTCTGTGTACATACAAATATAGTTTTTATATTTTTTCCAGTGTTTCATAGAATCTAACACAAATAGGAAGTTGCTTTTTTTTTTTGGTCTTGGCAAATATAGTCATAAGAGAGAGGTGGGAGACTTATTAAGTAAAAATGTAACTTTTTATAATCACAATATTGTTAAAAAAAAAACCAGTAGTTTTAAAGAAACAAATATTTAGAGACGGTAAAAGAGTATACAAAGAAAACAAATCCAAAGAATGCTTTTGGTAATCTACCTTTTTACCAAAATTAACTTATTAATTAAATTCAATATTACTCTTTCAGGATGATATTCAAGTGCAAGCATTGGCACTGGATGTACCCTTTTGCGAGTACCTGAGTGTTAGTGTGTAAATACAACGTCGTGAAGATCAGCGATCGGCATTTGGTAGAGAGCAGATAGAGGCAGGAAGGGCTCTTCTGTTCTCTTTTCTGTCTGTTAAGAGGCTTCTGAAGTGATTTCTGTGCCTAATTCTTAGGTCAAGAGTACAATTTTCTGAAGATGGAGCCTGGAGAAGTGAACTCGCTTGGAGAAAGATATGATTTTGACAGTATCATGCACTATGCCAGGAACACCTTCTCAAGGTTGGAGTCTCAGGTTATACCTTTTGACTTTTAATTCCTTTCCTCTGTGTGGCTCCTCACAAAACTAGGCTTAACATTAGAACTAGAACAACTTTCAAATACCGCTGTCATAAAGTACAAAATATACTTGATTGGTGTTTATAGCCAACAACAGGCATTTGAGATTTTAAAAACACATTTTCACATTTCCTATCAAATAAATAGATTCTAAGTAAAAATTAAAATTTTTCGAATTATTTAATATTCTTAAATCTTAAAAAAGTTCAATTAAAATGATTACCAAACCAATCTGCGTGTTAAATTGGCAAAGCACTATTAATGAAAATTAGGCATTTCAAGTCAAATAGCAAGCTCAGTTGTTGAGTTGGAATGTTATACTCTCATGTGACTTGTGTTTTTATTGTGTACTTTCTGTTGCTCAAGTACTAATTTCACTTGAAATATGCTATAGTAAAATAATTCTCAGAGAACATTTTAGGAAGATATTTTACTTCGTATACTTTCCAGTTATTAACCTTAAAATTATTTCATTAGTGACTGAATGCTAATTTTTAAGAGTGTAATAAATTTGGGTTTTGATCTATTTCACTCTAAACAAGATGTCATCAAGGCAATGGTTTCCAGGTAAGGAATCTGAAACTGTTAAAACTGCTGAAGTCATATCTTTTTCCCATTTTATACCCATTTTACAGTCATGTCCATTCCACTCATTCTTTTCTGATCACCATGCCCATTTCACAATTCATTAATGTCTATGTTTAAAGGAAGGGTCAGGAAGAAGACAGTAAATTCAAGTTAATTCCCTGTTTTTAAAAAAAATGTGTGGTAATAAGTAGAGAAGGGTGTAAACAAATTCTTAACACTTGGATAAATATTTAAATTATGCTTCTTTACGACCAAACTTTATTAACATAATTGAGTGTTAACTGTATTTTAAAAATCATTTTATTCTGAAGTATATAATCGTTCAAATATAATGACTACCCAAATACTTATTGTTTTTTGAATTGAATTGAAGTTTTAGCAGAAATACATCTATAAACTTGGACTGAAATTAATCTTAAAGAATTGTAAAGCTTTGTTTTCATGCTTGGAATTGAGTTTTATTTAGAAACATGTGAAAAATGAGGATTGGGGTACCAGTTTAGCCAAAGTGCTTCTCTTATACTGTTGAGTTATATTAGTTAGAAATAAACTGAGTTTAGATTCTTTGGAATAGAGCAGGTACTGGAGAAAGGAAAAGGTAATTTATTTCTGTCCCTGGTAGACAATGAACCTATACCAAAGTTTGAAACATACATTTTCCCTTATTCTGTACTCCTTTCATGTCTTTAAATTGTTGCTTTTCCATAAACCACAAGGTTCTTGCAATTTATCACCCCCTACACCTAACTTTGGAGTTGCATGACAACTAGCCTTGAAATATTATTTTCTCTTATTGTTCCAAAATTTACCTATTCACTTTTCCCAAATAAACTTATATTCCTATAGTGAAAGTAACTGTATCTACCTGTTAGAAGAATTGATCCAATTCACATTATTTTTTTTTCTGAATTTCATGAGAGGAAACATTTCACACAGCTCTCAGCCACCACCTCCAAAGTATTTGATTTTTTTTATTATTGGTGGTAAAGAAACCTCAATATCAAATTTACTGTATTATCTAATTTTAAGTATACAGTTTAGTAGTATTAAGTACATTCACATTGTTGTGAAACAGATGTCCGGAAACTTTTCATCTTGAAAAACTGAAACCCTATACCCATTAAACAAAAACTCTCCTCTCTCCCCCCACCCCACCGCCAGCCTCTGGACCACCTTTCCACTTTCTGTGTCTATGAATTTGGCTACTTTAGATACCAAGTAGAATCACACAGTATTTGTCTTTTTGTGACTGGTTTATTTCACCTAGCATAAAATTCTTTAGGTTCATCTATGTTGTAGCATGTAACAGAATTTCCTTCCTTTTTAAGGCTGAATAATAGTCCATTGGATGCATATACCACATTTTGTTTATTCATTCATTTGTTGATGGACATCTGAGTTGCTTTCACCTCTTGGCTACTGTGAATAGTGCTGCCATGAACATGGGTATGCAAATATCTCTTCCAGATCCTGTTTTCCATTCTTTTGGATATATACACAGAAGTAAGTGGGATTGCTGAACTATATGTTTAATTTTTTGAAGAACCTCCATAATTTTTTTCTTAGATGCTGCACTATTTCACAATCCCATCAACAGTGCATAAGTGTTCCAATTTCTCCATATCCTCACCAACATGTGTTCTTTTCTGTTTTGTTTTTTAATTTTTTGATAGTAGCCATCCTAATGGGTATGATGTGATGTCTCATTATGGTTTTGATTTGCATTTCTCTGATAATTAGTGATGTTGAGCATATTTTTATATGCTTGGCCATCAATGTCACCAATTACTAGAGAAATGCAAATCAAAACTACAATGAGGTATCACCTCACACCGGTCAGAATAGCCATCATCAAAAAATCTACAAACAGGGCTTCCCTGGTGGCTCAGTAGTTAAGGATCCGCCTACCAATGCAGGAGACATGGATTCGAGCCCTGGTCCGGGAAGATCCCACATGCCACAGAGCAGCCAAGCCCGTGCACCACAACTACTGAGGCTGCACTCTAGAGCCCATGAGCCACAACTACTGAGCCCATGTGCCACAACTACTGAAGCCCACACACCTAGAGCCCATGCTCCCAACAAGAGAAGCCACCACAATGAGAAGCCTGTGCACCACAATGAAGAGTAGCCCCCACTCGCAGCAACCAGAGAAAAGCCCACATGCAGCAACGAAGACCCAATGCAGCCAGACATAAAATAAATAAAAAAAAACAAATAAATTTATTTATTTTTTAAATCTACAAACAATAAATGCTGGAGAGCGTGTGGAGAAATGGGAACCCTCTTGCACTGTTGCTGGGAATGAAAATTGATACAACCACTATGGAGAACAGTATGAGGTTCCTTAAAAAACTAAAAGTAGAACTACCATATGACCCAGCAATCCCACTACTGGGCATATACTCAGAGAAAATCATAATTCAAAAAGGCACATGCACCCCAGTGTTCATTGCAGCACTATTTAGAGTAGACAGGACATGGAAGTAACCTAAATGTCCATCAACAGAGGAATGGATAAAGAAGATGTGATACATATATACAATGGAATATTACTCAACCATAAAAAGGAAAGAAATTGGGTCATATGTAGAGATGTTGATGGACCTAGAGACTGTCATACAGAGTGAGGTAAGTCAGAAAGAGAAAAACAAATATTGTATATTAACGCATATACATGGAATCTTAAAAAAATGGTGTAGATGATCTTATTTGCGAAGCAGAAATAGATACACAGACGTAGAGAACAAACATATAGATACCAAGGGAGAAGGAGGAGGGTATGATGAATTGGAAAATGAGGATTGACATATATACACTATTGATACTATGTATAAAGTAGATAACAAATGAGAACCTACTATGTAGCACAGGGAACTCTACTCAGTGCTCTGCGGTGACCTAAATGGGAAGGAAATCCAAAAAAGAGGGGATGTATGTATATGTATAGTTGATTCACTTTACTGTACAGTAGAAACTAACACAACATTGTAAAGCAACTATACTCCAATAAATATTAGAAAAAAATGAAAAAATCTCCATTCAAATCTTCTGCATATTTTTAAATCAGATTACTCCATTTTTCTATTGTTGAACTGTAGAATTTCTTTGTATATTCTGGTCTCTTATCAGATATATATATCTTACAAATATTTTCTCTCCTTTTCACTTGATTGTTTCCTTTGCTGTGCACAAGATTTTTAATTAAAAGTCTAGTCCCACTTACCTGTTTTTGCTTTTGTTGCCTATGCTTTTGGTGTCATATCCAAGAAATCATTGCCATATTCAATGTCATGAAGCTTTTCCCCTATGTTTTCTCCTAAGAGTTTTATAATTTGGGATCTTATGTTCAGGTCTTTAATCTCCTTTGAGTTATTTTTATATATGGCTTTGATAAGGGTCTAACTTTGTTCTTTTGCACATGGATATCCAGTTTTCCCAACATCATTTGTTGTAAAGATTATATTTTCCCCATTGAGTCAATACCTTTAACACCATTGTTAAAGGTCATTATATACACTAGGGTGTATTTTATTCCTGTTCAATTCCGTTGTTCTATAGGTCTGTCTTTATGCCAATATCACACTGTTTTAGTTACTTAAGGTTTGTAATATGTTTTGAAATCTGAAAGCATGAGTCCTCCACCTTTGTTCTTTTTTTTCAAAATATGTTTGGCTATTCAAGGTCCTAAGAGAGTACATATGAATTTTAGAACTGTTATTTTTTTCTATTTCCACAATAAATGCCATTTTGGTTTTGATAGGGATTATGTTGATTGTTTTGAGTAATGTGAACATCTTAACAAATAAAGTCATCTGATCCATAAATATAGAATGTTTTTCCATTTGTTTGTGTCTTCTTTAATTTCTTTCAGTGATGTTTTGTAATTTTCAGTGTGTAAGTCTTTTGCTTCCTTGGTTAAATTTATTCCCAAGTATTTTATTCTTTTTGATGCTATTTTAAATGGAATTGTTTTCTTAATTTCCTTTTCAGGTTGTTCACTGTTATTGTATAGAAATGCAACTGATTTTTGAGTGTTGATTTTGTATCCTGCAACTTTGCTGAATTCATTTATCAGTTCTGATAATTTTTGGGTGGACTCACTAGGATTTTATACATATAAGATTGTGTTATCTGCAAACAGAGATCACTTTACTTCTTTCTTTTCAACATGTATACCTTTTGACTCTTTGTCTTGCCTAATTTCTCTGACTAGGACTTTCAATAGTATGTGAATAAAAATGGTGAGAGCAAACATCCTTACCATCTTCCCGATCTTAGATGAAAAGTTTTCAGTTTTTCATTGAGCGTGATGTTATCTGTAGGTTTTTCATATATGACCTTTTATGTTGAGATAGTTCCCTTCTATTACTAGTTTGTTGAGTGCTTTTTATCATGAAAGTGTGTTGAATTTTGTCAAATGCTTTTTCTGCATCAATTAGATGAACACGTGGCTTTTGCCCTTCATGTTGTTAATGTATTTGAAGTTTTATAGTTTCTTCTATTCTGAACCCAGATAGTCTATAAAAGTTTTAGTTGTTTTCATCAGTATTTCCCATGAGCAGATTTAGGTACTTACTGTGGGAAGAACAGGGCTGCATATAGGGGGCTTTATATGCATAGATAATTTGTAATGTACATGCTTGCAAACTGGAACTGCCCATTTCTAATGAGAATTGTAAAATTTTATGAAGTTTTATGAAAAGCACAGTTAATTCACTCTTCTAATGTAGGTAAAACAAATGAAGATTAGTAAGTGACCCCATCTATGTTCTGTCTGAAAGAATGTTCAGGAAGAGCCTACATTGCTTAATGGCCTGGTTGTGGAAGGAGAGAATTGTTAAGTTTCTGACCACGAAGAAAGATCAAAAGAATGGGTAACTGACACCCATACAAATGGAAGGCAGATTACCTCCGTAGATTAAATGAGCCAAAATTCATCATTCTATCCCCTGAGTTTGAATATATCTTCTACAAGATGTCCTTGACCTTTTAAAATTGAATCATTTTTTTTGAAAACTGGAAAAAACAAAATTTTTCAAAAACTACGGGGTTTTGTTTTCGAAATAGGAATAGAAAATAATGAATACTCCATTAGTACTGAAGTACTGTAGAAGTTGTAACTCTTCACTAATTTGGACTTACCTACTTAATGTATCTGTTGATTTGTGCAGCAAAGTTGAAGAATAACTTTTCTCGGTGCTACCCTATAGCTCAACATCCCCTTCAGTTGCACTGGCCTAGCTGGAGTTGTATTTTATTAAGTGTGTGCAAGCTCTCACTTTTGATGATTAGTTCCCCCTCCCTACCTTCATCTCAGGTAGTATACATATTGAGTTTTGTAGAGACTTAGATTTTGTTTTAAAAGATTTCCAGTATCTATTTGAGTTATCTGGGTTTTATCTAAAGATCACCACTCCTACCTAGAAGCTAGGGAGGTAAGTCATAAGTTACTTATAGATAATGTCACACCTCTGTTTACCATCATCCACATATTAAGAGTTTTCCTCAGGTTAAAAGTTAAACTTTGACACTCAAACAAAGCATCCTCCCATCTTAGGGTTGCTGTATTTCTTAAAGTTCTTTCTGTCTGTGACTCTCTACTCCTAGTTAACCACATTTACCTCGCCTTCACTTCCTTGATGTTTGGCTAAAAAGTCGACTTCCAAGTGAGCTTTTCTTTGATCACTCTTTTTAAAAGCTATCCCATCAGTGGATAATCAATATCCATCTTCTCTTCCTTATTTTTCTCCAAAGTATCTGTCACTATCTCAGTTAACAATTTTTGTTAAAGTCTTTCTCCCTCCATTAGAATGTGAGAATCTTAAGGGGAGGAATTTTTGTTTCTTTTATTTACTGCTATAAATCCAGGTCTATAGGTCTATAACAATGCTCAGTACATTTTTTTTTTTTTTTTTTTTTTTTGGCCACGCCGCATGGCATGCAGGATCTTAGTTCCCTGACCAAGGATCAAACCCATACCCCCTGCAGTAGAAGCGTGGAGTCCTAACCACTGGACCACCAGGGAATTCCCAGTAAATATTTCTTAAAGGAAGAAAAAGTAGAGCTAAAATATTGTTCTTTTAACCTGCAGTTTAAATACAATTTTTCATTTAAAATTTTTGGAAAGAAGCTGTCCCATCATTCATCCCGGTTTCAAAGTTTGTTTTTTTAATAATTATATTTCTTAATTTAAAATACTTTTATAAAAAGTGTCTCTTTTTATACAATATTTCCTCACCATTTAGAATAGTCTCTCAATCCATTTAACTTTTAAGCTCAGTTACTTTCTTTAGAGCTACAAGTGTTAATATTCATTGCAAAATTAGACTGTACCTTTAGTTTACTATATTCACAATTTTTAGTCATGCACAGCAAGTTTGTATCACAACCTTGGGTGTGAAAAAGCTCAGTATCTGTAGCTTAGCATTATTAGTGCATTGCTTAGTTGTTTTTTTTTTTTTTTTTTGCTTATAAATTTTACCATGAAGTTTTTACACATATAGTGTATAGTATATGTGTGTGTTTGTATTTATGTGTGTGTGACAAAATTATTTTGCTTTAAACTTCCTAAAATTTGACACTCTTTGTTTTTCCTTGTTCTTGTAACATATACTGTGATAATTTGACTTCAAAAAATACTTAGGTTAAATTAGTAGTTTAATTTAAAAATATTAACATACTTGTTTTGTTTGACTTTTACAAGTTTAGTAATCTAAAAAATATTTATTATAAGCTGTTCTTAAGAAAATAGATCTCTATGAGGAAGAATTGTTTGACAACTTGGTAATTTAAGTGTTTTTAGATCTTGAGCTACCAAAACAAGAACCACAGTGTACTTGATAGGGACTATATAGAATTTTAGATTTTAAAAACAAATTATATACATTTTTAAGGAAAAAGTGAATGCCATCACTGACTTTATATTAGCCATACACATTTAGCACACAATTTTCTTCTACTTTGATGAAAGTGTTTTGAAGGTCTGACACACTCTTTAAATCTTAACACTGATATATTTCTCCTTTGATTGGTTTGAGTTTGAAAAAAACATATTTGTAAGGAATATATGTGTTTTAATGTGGTGACTTATGTGTGACTTGCTTCTGACTTTTTTCAGGGGGATGTTTCTGGATACCATTCTCCCCTCACGTGATGATAATGGCATACGTCCAGCAATTGGTCAGCGAACCCGTTTAAGCAAAGGAGATATTGCACAGGCAAGAAAGCTGTACAGATGTCCAGGTATTGCACCACCCAAACTCAGAAGCATAATTGTGCCTGATAGTGCTCTTACAGATGAATAAGCCACATTTTTTTTTTTTTTTTTTCGGTACGCGGGCCTCTCACTGTTGTGGCCTCTCCCGTTGCGGAGCACAGGCTCTGGACGCGCAGGCTCAGCGGCCATGGCTCACGGGCCCAGACTCTCTGCGGCACGTGGGATCTTCCCAGACCGGGACACGAACCCGTGTCCCCTGCATCGGCAAGCAGACTCTCAACCACTTAAAGGAAGGTCTTAATAACAATGTACCAAGAGAACACTAATGCCTTACTGGTCCAAGAAAGAAAAGATTCTGCTTCCAAACTGGAAATACTTATTACTCTATGCACCTCCTATATACTCAAAATGCTTGAAATAGCTTATATCAAAGATACATGCTTGGGCTTCCCTGGTGGCACAGTGGTTGAGAGTCTGCCTGCCGATGCAGGGGACAAGGGTTCGTGTCCCGTTCCGGGAGGATCCCGCATGCCGCGGAGCAGCTGGTCACGTGAGCCATGGCCACTGGGCCTGCAAGTCCAGAGTCTGTGCTCCGCAACGGGAGAGGCCACAGCAGTGAGAGGCCCATGTACGACACACACACAAACAATAAAAGATACATGCTTAACACAGCTTTTCCCAAATTTTTTTGTTTATGGAAACTAATACCTATGGAATTCGCTTTTTGTTCCAGATACTAAGATCACAAGTGGTAAAATAACTAATAAAGTTTTAACTGGCTGCTATTCTAATAATTTGTGCAGACATTCAGAGATAAGCTGGGTATATTAACCATTGAAGTTTTGCATAGGCTTTGCTTAAATTTTATTTATATATATATTTAATTATTGGGAAGTTATATTAACTAAGTTTACTGTGATTATTGGTCCCAGTCCAGGAAACTTTCTTTGTAGAGTACAAGAGAGGGCTAGCTGATTCATTAACAAGTGTAATATTTGCTCATTAACATATAGAAACGTCTTCATGGGGCAGAGAATGGTCTTCGTCTTCCCTTTATCCCGGTAATCAGCAATCTGCTTGTGAAAGAGATCCTCTCTGGGGTGTGTGAGTGGTGGTGCATCTTCTTCTCTTCATAAATGATTCATTTGCTCTCTTGTTCTCTCTCTTTTGGGGGGCCTTCTTTTTCTTGTGACTCTCATTTTCTAAATGTATTCTTCTCTACTTGGATCTAATTTTAGGATTACTTTCCTTTTTAATTTCTAAACTCCTGAAGCTGAACTCTTCTTCTAATACAGTCTCTTGTCTTTATTTGCATTTTCTCTTGATATAGTTTTTCTGTGGTCCCATGAACTTTTGGCTTATAACTACTTCATACTTATGTCAACTGTCAAACATAATATTCTCTCAGTAAATCTTTAATTAAATGTCAAGTAACATAATAAAACTAGGAAAAAATAAAGTAAATTAATATCTAAAAATAAAGGAGCTTCTGAGGATTAGAATGTTCATTATTATATAAAAGTGTATGTGTATTCACACATGAACCCACATACAAATCTATGTTTACAAATTTAAAAGTGTTGTTAAACATACAGTATATCCACGTCTATGGATGCACATCTGTGTGGTTGTAGGGATGGAAGACCAGTTTCAGTGTTCATGGAATTCGAATACTAGAAACTTTCTAAACACTCATACATTAAATTTATTTTTTAATTAATATGAGGTTCTTTTTAGTTACCTAAAATATTAATCTCTTTAATTCCTTATATAATGCTCTGAGATTCCAGCCAGAATACTCTGGATATGTGTGCTTATGTACAATTCTTGGCTAAAATATATTGCCAACATGCAAAAAGAATTTAGCTATTTTCCCACTTATTCATGGACCCATTTATTCTTCTCCCATAAAACATTCCTTAGTTCAGTTGATGGTACCACACATAGATCTTCCCAAACCACAACCTGGAGGGCATCCTTACTTACTTCCTCCTTTTGCCTCACTTCCCACAACTAGTCAGTCCTGCTGCCTTCTTGGTATCGATCTCACATTCTTGAAGTGAATCCCCTATCCTAGGGATCCTCATCTTTTGTCTGGATTGCTTCAATGCTTCCTAAGTAAGCTCTTCCCTCCATCCTTACATCTCTTTAGTTCTCTGGCCACACTGCTGTTCAAGTGACTTTTCAATATGTAAATTTTATTCTGTTTATTTTAGGATAAAGGCTGATTTCCTTCTCAATGTCTCCTTTAAGATTTTCCCCTGTCTCTTCCCCCAGGCTCTTCTCTAGGTATTTCCCTTACAACCTAGTTTCTCACCTCTACTTCATTCAGCCCCTGACACTACAGTAAGCTTGCCTCTTGCTTCTTCCTCCAGCCAGAAAACTCTTAACTGCCTCCTGGCTAAATCCTAACTCATATTCAGAATTTGGCTCCTTTGTAACCTCCTACTTAAAAACCCACTGGTCTCCCAGGAATCCCATGTTGCTAAATACTTTATTTGATTCTGGCCTTATGTCTTACTCCTATAATCATCAATTTACTTGTCATTTCCCACATTAGAGTATAATTAGAGTATAATCTTTAGGATTGGAGTTAGGCTTTTTCCTCAGGGTATTCTGAATCAGATATAAGTTAGGTGCTCAATAAGTAGTTGTTGTATGAATGAAATAGTTGCTTTAATATGGGAAAAGTACTGCACCAGATATTATGGCCACAGAGAAGGAAGCACAGATTATACACACAAATAGCCAATTATCTGTGGGATTATACAGACAATATTACTTGTTGAGGAAGTAAATCTCATCAGTAAAGGATGCTAAAGCAGTTCTGGGAGGGGTGCCTAAACTGAGCTGCACCCTGGAATGAGGAAGCCTTCTTGGAGTTGGTATTTGTGCTTCATCTTCAAAGATGATTCAAACTTGGCTAGGGAGTTACTATTGAAATAGATTTTAAAATATTTCAGTAATTAATCTCACCATTATGGCTCAGATGACTTGGGATTTCTTTTAACATTCCTTATCTTAAAATAATTTTATATCTAAATTTTATTTATTACATATAAAAGTTTAAGAGAGGGCTTCCCTGCTGGCGCAGTGGTTGAGAGTCTGCCTGCCGATGCAGGGGACACGGGTTCGTGCCCTGGTCCAGGAAGATCTCACATGCCACGGAGCGGCTGCACCCGTGAGCCATGGCCGCTGAGCCTGCGCGTCCGGAGCCTGTGCTCTGCAACGGGAGAGGCCACAACAGTGAGAGGCCCGCGTACCACAAAAAAAAAAAAAAAAAAAAAAGTTTAAGGGAGCCATGGATGTATGAAAAAGTTAATTAGATAGTGCTAAGTTGATTAGATATAGTTTTATTTCTTCCCCTACTCTAGAGTTTATCAAGATTTTGGGGGAAGAGATTTATATAATACATTATAGTCTGTTTTATTTAGAGTTAGTAACATTATAAATGTGTTCTTATAAAAAAATGGAAAAAGGATTCTCAATCTTTGATATATGGTGGATGTTGCAGACATTTGCTTGGGAAAATATCTGTAGATGTAAATACAATCAGCAGTATATTTAACCATATTGTTAATAACACAAGAATTTGTAATAATTTCTCAGCCACACACAATCAAAGTAGCATTTATACAATTCAAAAACAATTTTCTGTCTTGGAAGAGGTAAGTTACACTAGAATCATGTGATGCAAAAGTGAGATGGATCATAGAATAAAGAACTTTTTATTATTAACTATTTTTTAACTTTGGTGAAACACACATAACATTAGACCTGTCCTATTAACAAATTTCTAATTGCACAATACAGTCCTGTTAACTATATACACATTGCTTTACAGCAGATCTCTAGAACTTTTCCAGCTTGCATGACTGAAACTGAAACTCTATACCTATTGGACAGCATCTCCCTGTTCCTGTCATCCCAAACTCTGGCAACCACCATTTTACTTTCCACCTCTTTGAGTCTAACTACTTTAGAAACCTGCAGTATTTGTCCTTCTGTGTGTGACTGGCTTATTGCACTTAGAATACTGTCCTCAGGGTTTATCCATGTAGTTAGCACATAACAGATTTCTTTCTGTTTTAAGGCTGAATAATATTCCATTGTATGTATATACCACATTTTCTTTATTCATTCATCCAGTGATGGACATTTAGTTTGTTTCTATCTCTCGGCTACTCTGAATAATGCTTCAATGAATATGTGAGTGTATGTATTTCTTCAAGATTCTGTTTTCAGTTCTTTTGCATCAATATCCAGAAGTAGAATTGCTGGATAATTTGGTAGTTCTATTTATAATAGCTGAGGAAACTCATACTGTTTTCCACAGTGACTGCACCATTTTAATTTCCTACCAACAGTTAAAGTGGTTCCAATTTCTCCACATCCTCACCAGCACTTGTTATTTCCTGTTTTTTGATAATGACCATTTTAACATGTGTGAGGTGATATCTCATTGTGGTTTTGATTTGCATTCCCCTGATGATTAGTGATGTTGAGCATTTTTTTCATGTATCTATTAGTCATTTGTATGTCTTCTTTGAACTGTCTATTCAAGTCCTTTGCCCATTTTAAAATTTGGTTATTTGGGGTCTGTTGTTCTTTGTTTGTTTTTTTGCTATTGAGTTGTAAGAGTTCCTTATATATTTTGGATAGTAACCCCTTATGAGATGCATGATTTGCATATGTTTTCTTCCATTCCGAAGATTGCTTTTCACTCTATTGATTGTTTCCTTCACTGCACAGAAGCTTTTTAGTTTGATGTGGTCCCCCTTGTCTATTTTTGCTTTTAAAGTCTGTACTTTTAGTGCCAATATCTGAGCAATCATTGCCAAGATCACAGTTATGGAACTTTTCACATATGTTTTTTCTTCTAGGAATTTTACAATTTTGGGTCTTCCTTTTAACTCTTTAATCCACTTTGAGTTGATTTTTGTGTATAACGAAAGAAAAGGGTCCAATTTCATTCTTTTGTATGTGTATATCTAATTTCCCCAACACCATTTATGCAAGAGGCTATCCTTTCCATGTTGTATAGTCTTGGCACCCTTGCTGAAGATCCCATTTTACTGTTTAGGTGTGGGTTTATTTTTGGCTCTTTATTCTGTCCCATTGGTCTGTAAGTCTCTCTTATGCCAGTACCATATTCTTAATTACTGTAGATTTGTAATATGTTTTGAAGTCAAGAAGTGTGAGGCTTCCAGCTTTGTTCTTTTTTCTCAAGGTTGTTTTGGCTATTTAGGGTTTGTGGTTCTATATGAATTTTAAAACACTTCTCCCCATTTCTGCAAAAAATGCCACTGGGAATTTGATAGGGAGTGCACTTAATCTGTAGATTGCTTTGGGTAGTAAGGATAACATTTTAACAATATTAAGTCTTCCAATCCATGAACACATTTCTTTGTCTCTTTAAATTTCTTTCAGCAATGTTTTGTAGTTTTCACCTTACATATCTTTTGACTTATTGGTTAAGCTTATTCCTAAATATTTTATTCTTTTTGGTGTTCTTATAAATGGGGTTGTTTTCTTAATTTCCTTTTCATATTGTTTGTTGTTAGTTTATGCAACTGATTTTGTGAGTTGATTTTGTATTCTGTAATTTTGTTGAGTATTTTTTATTACCTCTAACAGTATTTTTTTTTGTCTGTGGAATCTTTATAATTTTGTACATATAAGATCATGACATCTGCCTAGAGAGATAGAAGTTTAACTTATGAATTATGTTTCATTTTAGAGTAATTTTGATTAGGACAGTGATAATAATTTGCCTTTGTATATTTCTTTATGCCTTTTTTCTCTTAAATAAGACTGCATTTTGTAGCTCAAAGATATATTCTAACAATTAAGCGCACAGTCTTCCTACCTGTGTCAGAGGTATCTAAGGGTTAAAAAGAGAACTTTGGGCATCACAATACTTGACTCCTACAAAACAACTTTATGAAGTACATATTAATAAGATAGCCACTTTACAGAAGAGAAAACTGAAGTTGAAGGTTTTGAGACTTGCTTGTATGACATAATTAACAAGGGGTAATGCCATGACTCAACTTCTCTTTTCTCATCCACATAGCTTTCTGAGTAAATGGACAGACTATGTATTTAACTTAGTAGTACCATCTTTCCCTTGCTAATTTTCCTTTAGTTCTTTTAATATTAAAGTTTTTTTATATATCTTTGCATGAATCAACAAATGGCCAGGAAAATTGATGAAATTTTCTGAAATAGTGATCATGTAGCCTGGGACAGCCACACTTATTGAAGAAAATGCACAAATGATTATCACAACTTGACAATATTGTTTGTACTTCTTGAATTATAAGCAGGTGCTATATAATAGATTTACTTAATTTTTGAATTATATTCTGTATTTTACATTTTAGAGAGTTTTTTATCTTTTTTATCAGAACCATAGTGTTTGTTTACATTTATGAGTCAAATATATTTAATTTTTTAAATTCCACTTTAGGAAATCCAGTACCAGCATTCTATGTGGCTTAGTGGAGTTTTCAATTATTTCAAAATTTATTTCTAAACTACTGTAAATTGCAGCTTTTTTTCTTTGAAACACACTCAATTCCCAAATGACTATTTAGCATCTAAACTGATCCTAGTTAGAAGCACATTGTTTGCATTAATAAATCTTAACCCTTTTTCTAAGGGTTCTTGTAATGTCACATTTACCAGTATCCTTAAATGATTCTTGGAAAGGGCTGATTATATATTTTTTACCTTGAGCATTTTTGTTTCATTCTGAAGTTGCTTTTATCTGCCTATTCATCAGAATAAACACTGCTTGCTCTTACTTTAAATTTATTTTGTTGTGCAAACATAATATCTGTGTTTCTAAATAAACATTTATATCTTATCAGACTGTTTTTACAGCTCTATTTTATGTTTTCAAAGCCATCATCTTTGTTTCTTCATTTAAATCAAGATATGCAGAACCATTTATAATTTATTGATTTGATGACACAAGAGTTCACTTGCTGGGAGCTATGCTTCTATAATATGGTAGTATATCAGTTTTTATTTCAGTCTCCTTCAGAGGGAAGGAGCTGTTCTTTCTAATTGTTGAGTGAAGGTTATAAACATGTTTATATAAATCTTTATATAAACTGGCTACAGTATAGGAATTATTCTTGAATTAAGGATACTTAAAGCAGCCTAGGTTCATGTGGCTCATACCATGTCTTGCAAAAACAACAAGGAAATCTATTATAGAATGCTTCTAACTACAAACCTTGGCTGAAACAGAGTTAATTGTGCTCTGTTCTTGCCTTTGTTGAAATGGCCTATAGATATCAATCACACAGATCTTGAGGCTGTGTAGCTGATTATTATTTGCTATTTCAGATGACTGGTAATCACTTCCAAGAAATTAGAAAGGCTTAGTAAGAGGAAAATATAATTGCTTTTCCAGTAATTTCTACTTATGATTGACAGAAAACAGAGAATAAATAAATGTCTACATCTTATTTAAAAATTTGTGTCTTCCGTGATGTTTTTATCTTTCAATTTTTTTCCAGTTTATTTTGAAAAAAAATTTTCATTGTGCTTGACATTTTGGCACCTCTTATTGATTATTTATTCATTATTATTTAAGATTTCTTTTTTCAACCTTGATATGGTATTCATTATTGAAATTAACCTCACTCTATACCAAATATGCTAATGGAATATTTCGTATGGTCCCAGAGCCACATCAACTAGGTATTCACTGGCCTGAAGCTAAATATGGGTGACGTATAAGTTGGCTACTGGCTTCTTGAGAATGAATGAGAAAGGTTTCCATGAGGAAGAACTTTGTGGTTCTTCAGGTTATTTATCTCATTATCTTGTTATATGGTTAGCTATAGTAATCTGATTAAGTATACTGAAATTCTAGTAAGAAAGAATTAAGTAAGAAAGAGAAATTACTTAGAAAGGAAAATTGTTTTATAAAATACAAATATATATTCTTGTCTAACACCAAAAGACTGGAGATTTTATTTATGAGTCCAATGTCTTTCATAAAAATTAGAGAAAAATCTTATCTTTTTCATCTTTTAAAAAAATCAAAAATTTTTTTTTTCTTTCAGCATGTGGAGAAACCCTACAAGAATCCAATGGCAACCTTTCCTCCCCAGGATTTCCAAATGGCTACCCATCTTATACACACTGCATTTGGAGAGTTTCTGTCACTGCAGGAGAGAAGGTAGTTTATCCCATCAAGAGTTCTCCTTTAATCTCAGATGCAAAGGTTCATTTTCTTTCAAATATAATTCACTTTGTTTTTTATTCTTGTTTGATTAATAAAATAGCTCAGAAATTTTATAATGGAAATTACTCAAACTCCAGGAATTTTTTGAAAGATGTAATTTTAAAAGAAATGGTAAATGGTCTAAAAGGGTTGACATAATACAAATTATGTACTCAGACACACTGAAATTAAGTTAAAAGTCAGTATCATATGGATAACTAGAAAAATCCCACACATTTTAAAATTGAGAAATATACATCAAATATCCAATTCATTCAAGAAGATATTGTGATTAAAATTAGAAATTATTTTCAATTATAACAAAAATACTGAGAATACCAAACCTGTAAGATTCACCTAAAGCAGTACTTAGAAGGAAATTCACAGACCTAAATGCTCATATTAGGAAATAAGAAATACCCAAAACTAATGAGATTGACATCCACATAAAGAGACTAGAAAAAGAGCAATAAAATAAATGAAAAAGTACATAAAGGAGGAAGTAATAAATAAAAGATAAAATATCATGGTATTGTATAAAGTATGGACAAAGTTGGTACTTGAAACAATTTAGAAAAATAGAGGAATGGGTGAAAAGAGATCAAGAGAAAAAAGAATAACAGAGAAAGCACAATTAACTAATATTTAGAATAAAACGATTATTATAACCATAGATACTTTAGGAACCAAAAGAACATTTTGAACATTATGCCAATAACTTTAAAACTGTAAATGAAATGGGCAAATTACTACAAAATATTACTTACTAAGTTCTTATTTGAGAAGAAATAAAAAGCTTGAATGCTCCTATAACCACTAAAGAAATCAAATTACTATTTAATTGAATTATTAGTCAAAATTTTTTCAACAATGAAATCCAGGCTCAGATGGCTTCATCAGTGAGTTCTACCCAACAATCAAATAAGAATTAAGTGTAATCTAATATAAAGTCTTCCAGAGAATAAAATAAAAGATACACTCTCCTATTTATATGGCTAGCAAAACCTTGATAGCCATCCTGATGACAAGAACAGTGTAAGAAAGGAAAAATTTAACCCAGACTCACACTTGAATATGTATGTAAAATCCTCCCCACATTACCAAACTAAATGCAAATACATATGCCTCTGTATGTATGTATGTATGTATGTATCTATCAATCTGTAAATATATAAATAATATATACATATTTCAAGGGCAGATATATGCATGGATATGTGTATATATGTATGATATATTATGTATATATGTTTGTGTGTATATGTATGTGTACATATATACAAGCACCATTAGACAAGTATCTCAGTTAAATCAAGAAAAAAAATCTATTGATGATTTAACAACAACAAAGCCTGAGCAAACTAGGAATAGAAGAGTATTAATCTTATAAAGAGAAGCAACAAAAATTAGTGCAAATACCATTATCATTAGGGTAATTCTGAAAGTATTTCCTTTGAGATAGGTAAAAAACCAAGTATGTCCACCAGTCCTCTTCTTTTTTTAACATTTTGGTGGAAATAGTAGCATGTTAAGGCAAGAAAATGAAATTACACATGTAAGGATTAAAAAGGAAGACATAAAATTCCTTTTATCATATTGTTTGTTTGGTTATAGAATTTAAAATTATTAAGAAGTGAAATGAATAAATCTATTAATTTCTGGATTCTGTCTGGAATGCTAACCTTAAAAGTCTTCCCAGACCAAGATTGTAATAATATCAATTTTTGTTTTTTACTAGTTATTAAATGATTTTTATCCTTCGTCTTTGACTAATTCATATGGAATGACTCATACACACTTTGAGTTTTGGTGGAAAAGCAAATGCAGTTAAGAAAGTTTCAACTCCCTGATAATTGAGTGTTGTTACAAGTATCATGGGTATGGAGTTGTCCAGGATGTTGCAATACTCACAATGAAAACTAAATGAAACTCTTTTGTAGCATAAACAGATTTTATACATAAAAAGTTACAACTGACTTGTAATACATGAATGCATACATAATTCTTTATATAGTTATTTTTAAGCATTGTGAGTCTACATTGTAATATAGTTATAGGTGTTGATCAATTTCTGTTTAGATCCTTTGAATAAGCCCCTGAAAACATATTATGAAAATCATTATAAAGGTACTGAAGAGCAAGATATAAAAGATGATAAAGCTTCAGAGAAAGTTTAAAACTGTACATGATATTTTTTTTTTCAGTTTTTCTTAGTTTTTTTTAAACATTTTTATTGGAGTCTAGTTGATTTACAATGTTGTGTTAGTTTCAGGTGTATAGCAAAGTGAATCAGTTTTACATATACATATATCCACTCTTTTTTAGATTCTTTTCCCATATAGGCCATTACAGAGTATTGAGTAGAGTTCCCTGTGCTATAGAGCAGGCCCTTATTAGTTATCTATTTTATATATAGTAATGTGTGTATGTCAATCCCAATCTCCCTTTATCCCTTCCCCCACCTTACCCCCTGGTAACCATAAGTTTGTTTTCTACATCTGTAACTCTGTTTATGTTTTATAGATAAGTTCATTTGTACCATTTTTTAAGATTCTACATATGTTATATCATATGACATTTGTCTTTCTCTGACTTATTTCACTCAATATGTTAATCTCTAGATCCATCCATGTTGCTGCGATATACATGAGTTTTTAAAATAAAGCATTGTAGAATATGGAAAGTTTTGGCACAAGATTAATCAAATTAAATCAGTTTGTAAGAGCAAAATAATACTTGGAAAAAAAGTTTCTCCTATCTAATTGCAGTACCCGTACCATCAGCATTCAAAGTTTACTCAGTTTTCTTGTATGTAGGATTACTAATAAAATGGTATTTTCTAAAATGTTGCAAATAGGAAGAAATAAACAAATCTATCATTTTTTCTCCTATATTTTTAATATTGTGCACAATGATGAGCAAATAAATTTATTGTTATAAGTGTCAATGAACAATAATATTCTTATATTTTTATTATTTTCTTTCAATATTTAAGTTCATTCCGCTCTTCTTTTTTATTTTATTGAAGTATTGTTGATTTACAGTTTTATATCAGTTTCAGGTGTACAGCATAGTGATTCAGTATTTTTATAGATTATACTCCGTTAAAATTATTACAAGATAATGGCTATAGTTATCTGTGCTGTACAATATATCCTTTTTGCTTACTTATTTTATACATAGTAGTTTTTGTCTTTTATTCCCATGCCCCTGATTTGTCCCTCCTCCTTTCCCTCTCCTTCTGGTAACTACAAGTTTTTTTTTCTATATCTGTGAGTCTGTTTCTGTTTTGTATATACATTCATTTGTATTATATTTTAGAATCCATGTATAAGTGATTTCATACAGTATCTGTCTTTCTCCATCTGACTTTGTTTCACTAAGCATAATATTCTCTGGATCCATCCGTGTTGCTGCAAATGGCAGAATTTCATTCTTTTTATGGCTAATACTGCTATGTACATAGGAATATATATATATATATATATATATATATATATATATATATGGCACATCTTCTATATCCATTCATCTGTAGATTGACACTTGGGTGCTTCCATATCTTGGCTACTGTAAATAGAGCTGCTGTGAACGTTGGGGTGCATGTATCCTTTTGAATTAGTGTTTTCATTTTTTCCAGATATATACCCAGGTATCAAATTGCTGGATCATATGATAGTTCAATTTTTAGTTTTTTGAGGAACCTCCATACTGTTTTCCAGAGTGGCTGCACCAATTTACTTTCCCACCAATAGTGTAGGAGGGTTCTCTTTTCTCCACATCCTCTCCAACATTTGCTATTTGTAGACGTTTTGATTATAGCCATTCTGACAGGTGTGAGGTGATATCCCCTTGTGGGTTTGATTTTCATTTCTCTAATAATTAGCCATATTGAGCATCTCTTCATGTGCCTGTTGGCCATCTGTATGTCTTTTTTGGAAAAATATCTGTCAGAAGCTTCTTTCCAGTTTTTGATTGGATTGCCTTTTTTTTTATATTGAGTTGTATGAGCTGTTTATGTATTTTGGATATTAACCCCTTGTCGATCATATCATTTGCAAACATTTTCTTTCATTCAGTAAGTTGTCTTTTTGTTTTGTTGATGGTTTCCTTTCCTGTGCAAAAGCTTTTAAGTTTAATTAGGTCCCATTTGTTTACTTTTGCTCTTATTTCTTTTGCCTTAGGAGACAGATCAAACAAATATTGTTACTATTTATGTCAAGGAGTGCTCTGCCTATGTTCTCTTCTAGGATTTTTATGGTTTCAGGTCTTTCATTTAGGTCTTTAATACATTTTGAGTTTATTTTTGTATAAGGTATGAGGAAATGTTCTAATTTCATTCTTGTAAATGTAGCTGTCCCATTTTCTTAGCACCATTTATTGAAAATGCTGTCTTTTCTCCATTGTATATTCTTGCTTCCTTTGTCTCAGATTTACTGACTATAAGTGTGTGGGTTTATTTCCAAGCCATCCATTCTGTTCCATTGTTCTATATATCTGTTATTGTGTCAATACCATACTATAGTTTTGTGTCTAGCCTGAAGTCTGGGAGTGTGATATATTCAATTTTGTTGTTTTTTCTCATGATTGCTTTGGCACTTTGGTGTCTTCTGTGGTTCTATATGATCTTAGGATTATTTGTTCTAGTTCTCTGAAAAATACCATGGATATTTGATAGAGATTGCATTAAATCTAGAGATTTAATGGGTCTTTTTTACTTATTTGGTCGAGTTTAACTCACTAATTTCAACCATCTTTTCTTTTATCATACAAACATTTAAAGCTATAAATATTCCTTTAAAAACTACTTTATCGGAATTTCACCAGCTTGACACATAGTATTTTTGTTATTTTTCAGTTTTAATTATCTTCTTCATCTTTTATCATTTCTTCTGCCCACATATTTTTCAGGAACATATTTTTTTATTTGCAAACATATGTTATTTTTCCAATCT